TGTCAACCCATCACGAAGATGGAGTTTGAGTTCGAGAGAAGAAAAGTCACTAAAGAGGATATACGAGAGCTAATTTCTAGGGAGATACTTGAGTACCATCCTCAGCTCCTTAAAGACTACATGAACGGGGCTGATAAAGCCAGTTTTCTTTACCCAAGGTCGTAATTTTTGTTGATTACATACTTGAGCTAGCATGCATCACACCCAGTCCCTGACATTGATGTATACTATGCAGTGCTGTTGATCAATTTAGAAGACAATTTGCGCATCTTGAAGAAAACAGTGGTAAAACCGGCCCTGTGGCGCCTCTAGAAAGGAAACATGCCTCTCTTCCAAGGTAAATCCTCGTTTTTTTCTTTGTGTAATGTCTGTTGTCACTTGATCTGGTTTCGGTGATCTCCTCTGTTTTTGACCCGTTATGCAATTGTTATACTTGTTGTATGTGAATATATACATTGACATGACAAGGATAAAAAAGATGGAATCATGAAACCGTGACTATCTCTTTCTTGTGTTGAACTCCAATTTCTACTAGAATCATGTCAACTTCATTATTTTTAGTTCTTTAGCTGGTATCGTGTAGGAAAGAAAGAATCTGTCCTTCTGACTCTGTGTTTATATGCTTTCAGATCAACAGTCATACACTCAACCGCAGTAGCGCGAGGAGGACAACCAAAGCTTATGAATAACACAAACACATTGAACCCTGAAACTACTCAAAACATTCCTTTTAATCATGCAACCTTACAAGCACAACAAAGAAACCTCTCAGGTACTTTTTATCACTCACCCTGAATCCAGCAGCAATGTTTCCAATCCGAACTCTATAAACCATTAAACATCTATCTACACGCAGCCGCCAAACCAAGCACATTCATGGGCCCGGTCGCGCCTTTCGACAATGGCAGAATCAGCAGAGATGCATACGACCCGAGATCATTCATCCGGAGCACTAATCTCCCCTTTGCACAACAGTCAGCTGCAACAGTCGCCATGGGAAAGCAGCAAGAGAGAAGAACAACTATGGAGCCTGAGAAGCAGACAAGACAAATATCTCAGTATAATAGATACGCACCAGATGTAGCCATCAACATAGACAACAACCCGTTTATCATGGCTAGAACGGGAATGAACAAAGCCGAAAACATCAGCGACCGGATCATAATCGATACAAATCTTTTACAAGCAACCGCCGGAATAGGAGTTGCAGCGGCAGCTGCAGCAGCTGCTCCTGGTGGTTCTGCTCACCGGAAAGTTGGAGCTGTTCGGTACGGTATGTCAAAGATGTACTAGTCTCCACCTAAGCGGGGCTTTGATCACACGGAACATCGTATGTTTCAACTTCATGTCAAAAAAGAAAATTGTCTATGATACAAAACCATATGAGCAAAAAATGTTTTAAAAAAAAATTAATGTTGATCCATCATTTGTTTTTTTCTATTTCCGACAGATAAATAAATGGATGTTAAATTCTGGCATATAAATTGGGACAAGAAAGGTTCTGAGTTTTTCAAGTTTAATAGAACCGCTGGCTACAGAAGATGGAACAGTGTGGATGCGCATGGTGATGATGGTTTCATGGCACATCCGAACGCATGTTGTGGTGGGAACCCATATCACAGGGCACCACTTTGTTCTTCCAAATGTCAGTAGAAACAGATAGGTGCATTGTCACTTGATCATATCTTTAAACCAAACATTTTGTGTATATATTTTTGTGTAAACAGTTGAGTTCGCTTATTTTCTTCTTAAACATATTATTTCCTCTACTCCAGAGGATTACCGTATCACAGTTTTTTTTTTGGTCGGCTTAGTAACATATTAATAAATGAGCACAATGAGAGATTGCTGTTCAATAAATAGTATCTCAAAATAGAATATTAAAAAAAAAAAAAAATTAAAAATTAAAGAATATTTATTCATTTATACTTTAGTAAAAAAAAAATTGTAAGAATTTGGGATTCTTCCTCGTCTTTCTGATTATAAAATTTTCTAATGTAAAATGTTTTACAGCAAAATAGAGATAAATGAAAAGTACATGTACTTGAACCAAAAAAAAAAAAAATGCAACTAAATGAGGCCAAGAAAGGAGACAAATAAGGTTTGAGGTGGACCCAAAAACCACTGTAAGCATTGTCCCAGAGATCACCCATCATGGTAGGTCCACCTGTTTGGCCCATATCTCCAGCCTTATAGAAAAAGAGAAGATAACTAAATTAACTTCCCTTGATTTGTATTTTTTTTTAGCTAAGCAAACCATTACCACTTAATCATTTCTTCTCCTTTCTCAACTCTAAAAAACATATCTTGTCTTGTCTTAACCAAACTCTTCTCTATTATTTTTGTAGCAACAAAAAATGGTAGTGAAAGGGAATCATCTCAATCTCCTCCTAGATATAAAAGTTTTTCATCATTAAATAAAGTTATTTTTGAAGAAAAGAAAAAGAGAAACAACGAACAAGATACAAAAGGACATGGAATTGAATATTCTAAGACGACGAATGTGAAAGCTGGCTAAAAGCTAAAATTAAATTTTCAGTGTGTTATTTTTGTAACATATTTAATGTAAATGCAAATACATAAATAAATAGATACTAGAATTGGGGTGAGTGTCAGTTTGGTAGATGGTGAAATGCGAAAGGCACCCGATTTTTGTAAATCTCAATCCCGAGAAACCAAACCCTTCTTCGTCCCCTCCTTGGAAACATCATTTTTATTTTTCTCTTACAGCTTCTTCTTCTTTTAAAACAACATCTAAACAATCCTTCGTACTATTAAAACCCTAGACGTAAAAGTATAATCCTTCTGTTTCTGTTTCTTTTGATTAGATGTTATCAGTATTACTCTTTAATAATTAGATGTTGTTCTTTATCTAGTTTTTAAAACATCTTAGCATCTTAGTTGTCAAAAGAATGCATCGGAGGGTGTATTACTCATTAAAATTATGGAACACAACATTAAGTAACATTTATTATAACGGTTTTATGTGTATATAGATCTCTAGAAACATATAACATTAAACTTCCTTGGCTTTCTTTCTTCTTGTTATTGGCAGTTTCTCTAAAATTATAGATATAATGAGATTATTGTTTTTCATGGTAAGAAATATGGGAGATTTTTCTTATCAAAAAAAAAAAATGGGAGATTTAGAGTTTTTTTTTGAATAATAAAAGAAAGCTAAGGAGTTGACAAAAAAAAATCAAAACAAAAAATGAAGGACAGATTTAGGAGTCACAATGAGGTGGGGGGACCCAAAAAAGGGCTGACACGTGGCCACCATGCCCGATAGATATCATGTGGATCTTAGTAGGATTAGATCCTCCTCAATTGTACGAACAAGTTCACTATCTCTTAGAGTATCTATTTGATCTCATCCATCTAATAATAATAGTAATATATTACAGTCTGTACATAATGTATAGAGAGGAGGAGGCACATGGGAATGGGGCTTTGAAGATGGAGATATTCATGTGACCCGCACATGTCCTCCTCTCTCTCCCTTGTTCCCATGCAAGTAGTGTCTCACTGTATGTATCCTTCTTCTCCTTCCTTATCTCCACGCGCGTGGTCTTTTCATTTCGTCCGTACGTACTACGTTATTACTTACTCTTATTACCACCACCCCGAATGGCCGGCTTATAAGCATAAGTGCATAACTAGGATTCGTCGTCTTCTAATTGATTTTCTATTTTGGAACTTTGAGCTCACATAAAAGAACTTTGAGCTCACATAAAAGAACTTCTATCTTTAATTAACCTTGTAGTAGAAAGTAAGACTATTAACAATGCAAAACAACGTATAGCTATTACATTCATGGCTAAACCAGATCACATACCATTTATATTTTAAATTAAAGTTCGAATGATATTTTAACAAGACACACAAAAGTCCGGAAAAAGAAATGACACACTTACTAAAAGTAATCCGGCTTATATTAACAAAGCATAACCTATACAATATTAAAACATTGTTGTATAATTTTTTTCTTTTTTTTTTGCCAATCAACATTAATTGTTGTGTAATTAGTTAATTACTATGTCAAACGTCTAGCTCTTAAACAAAAATTTTAACGTGCCATATCTAGATGTGAGCATGGTCCACTTAAGGGGAATATTGCTGATTTAGGCATTTTTTAGCCTAGAAATTTGAAAAAAAGAATGAGTATCAGGTCTTCAGAATTAGGTATTTTTGGACTCAGTGGAATTACTCATTTACCTCTGAATTTTGGTCTCAATCAACACCACCTCTCTGGCAACGTCGGCGTCCGTCTTCAAACACCATCTCCATCTCCGATGAACTCAATGGAGTCAATTGCTTTTTTAAAAACACAAAACTAAACCCTAATAGTATCTACTAAACCCAAGGGCTCCAATTATAAACACTAATTGAATCAAAATTTCCAATTAATCTTTACCATCGTCATCGCCGCCGGTCATAAGTCGCAAACCACCGTTGTCACCGGATCTCGTCATCACCACCATCTAATTTTCAGTGTCGTTTTCTTCGTCTCGTCTCTTCATCGTCACTGAATCTCATCATTGTCATTGAATCTCATCGTCGTCACCGAATCCCATCATCGTTACCACCATCTCGTTCACCAGATTTATTCACAATTTCGTTCACCGAATTGATTTTAACAATTATGGAGGTTGACAACTCTTTCTTCAAGCCACGACAGAGAGATCTGGGAATTCTTAAAAAAATTTGTCTGAAGAAGAGAAAAAGAATCGTGAGAGAGATGATTGTTTATGTGAGAGGGGTAGATTCGTCTTTTTGTTCAAATGAAAAATACCTATTTCTGAAGTATGGGTAGTTGTACTGGATTTGATAATTTCAGTTGGGATAAAGCCCAACCCCGTAATAATATCTCCACTTAAGTGAGTGATGTGTCCACTAAAGTCTAAACCAGTCGACATGGCGCGTGGAAGGTCTTCTTCTAGAGATCCAAATCTGTGGAAGCAACCCAAGTAAGAGAAGAAAAATAAATAACTCTCAACAATCCGAAACACGAGGATAATAAAATTAAAAACAACGTACAAGTGGACCCAGCTTTGATGGCAATACCGCCCATTTAACCATTTTTCATTTCTAAAAATAGAATTTTTTTTATCGAGTTTCAATTTTTACATCGTTTTTTTTTTAGACAAACCAAACCAAATCGTTCATAACCGAACCTTTCACTAATGTAAGCAAACAATGTAACTTTCCATTATAAAAGCATAGCAGACCAAACTAAACCGATATAGTATTGTCTCTAATTACTCACAACAAACCAAAGTAAAATCAGGTTAAACCGACCAGATTTAACCATCACCATTTTTGTCCACTAAATCCATCATCACTCATCATATATATATATACACTTCACACACATCCACATTCCTTACTTCTTCATTATTCTCTCAAACTCATCATTCTTCTCTCTCTCTCTCTCTCCTTCAATGGAAGAAACTTTAGCCACTCCCGACACCACGAGACGCTCTCTGTCACCGTCGTGCTCAGCCGCCGTGAAATCACGCGCCGCTGGTTTCGAGCGCAGAACCAAACGGAGATTGTCAGAGACTAACGCAAGCGTACGTGAAGACCGGGAAGAAGAAGAAGAAGAAGACGAGGTAAAGGAAAAGATTGAGGCGTTGCAGAGGATTATCCCCGGAGGAACGGCGCTTGGTGTGGACGCGCTCTTCGAAGAGACAGCTGGTTACATTATGTCTCTACAATGTCAGATCAAAACCATTAAAGTTCTTACTTCGTTTCTCCAACGCGTAGATCAAGAAGACATGAAGTTCGGAGGTTGAAGATGACCACACCAAGATTCATCTTCTTCTCTTCAATTCCAAAAAACCAAAAAAAAATCACTTTTATCTTCTCTTTTTTTTTCTTTCCTTTTTTTTATAACATGGGATTTTAGCTTTGATATATGAGGAAAGAGATCTCAGCATTTTTTTCTTCGAAATCTTTTTTCTTGAGTAGGAGTATAATTAATCTTTAATTTTTAAGTTCTGGTTTATTTAAGTCGTTTCGTAGTTATGAGAAGTGTTCATTAACGAGAATTAGCATTAATGTAGCTAGGGAGTGTAGTTACACTACTATAACTTATTTTAGTTGGACGCCATATAGATACTTATTAAATTGGATCACGAGGTAGCACTTGCATTTGAGATTTGACATTAATGATATTGAGAAAGTTAATGTTACGTGGCCCATTTTAAAATCTGGGTGAGCTCATTTCACATGCTTTATTATAACAAAGATTTCCAAAGTCGGTCGATATTTATTTAAGCTTATGATGAACTTACTAGATTTGAGTTCCCGTGGTCCAACAATAGAGTTCATAAGTATATTCCTTGTACAGATACAAGAAGATCTTTTTAGTCGTATAAGTACTGGAGCTAGCATCTACACACTAACACACATTTAAAAAAAAAAAAATTGCCGGTAGAAAAAACAATATCCGTTTTAGGATTCATTATTACGTAATTTTTGACCTATATCGAACATTATATATGGATCTCTTTATTCCACACATAGCGGGAAGCCGGGGAAGTTAAAAATTCTTACCAACCCTATCTATCCAAATTACATTACACAAATGTTCTTGAATTATCGATCTTATATACCAACAAGACCAAAAAATATTAGTTAAATCATTATTTTGAAAAAGCTCCGGAGACTTACTGTAACCATCATTGATATTTGAGTACTCAGCTGCAAATCATTGATGTCAACTTTAAAATCCTTTACCAAAAAATCATTGATACATTATATAATTAATCTCTAATCACATCCTGCATGATATAATTGGGCTCCCGACGACTCCAGATGTTATTATCCTAACAACAAGCACTACGACTCCATAATTGGGCCTAATATAATTGGGCCTAGCCCCATAAAACAAAGGTGTCCGTACAAAAGCTGTGAGAGTATTTAACAACGTGCGCGGCAATATTTGTCATCTACCTTCGAATCGATCGTCAAATCATTTCTCAACCGTCCGATTTCTCGATTCCATTTATTGCTAAAAACCCTAAATCGAATATATATATATATATACTGAGGAATTTTAGATTTCTCCTGGGAAAAATAAAAAATCTGGTTCAGCGACATTGTTCGTATGCTGTTCAAAACAAATGTGATTCGTTAATATGGAGCGTAGGATTAGCTGAAGACCATAACTTTTAGCAGTTTCACAGTAATATAGGTGCCCAATATTTTGCTTTGCTTTGGTTTCGAGTTTGTGAGGTTTTTGTTTGTTTGAGGTAATTGGTTATCTTCGGCTTTTAGACTAAGAATGCACTTGATAACGGTTGATCATCAATCATATGTTGCTTTTCTTTTCAAATAGTTTGTAGTCTCCTGTTTACCAAATTACATAGACAAACATTTTGTTAATAGATTGCTTGACAGTGCTTCATTACACATATCCTAAAAGTTGCTCTCGTAAACTCAAGAAAGTGGGCAGGAGCAACTTTGACCATTATATAGATTTACTAGAACAACTTGTCACGTCTATTTTCTATGAATATTTGGCTCTGGCCTCTGGGTGTTGTGCTTATGCTTTTATTCCTTCATGCAATCATGCTACGGTCCATTCATTGGAAGTCGATTTTCTTCGTACCTGAATTTTATGGATCAGCAGCCCAGAGAAGCTCGAGGAGTCCACAGCAATTTCTCCATGATGTTGGTTGCAGCACGGGTTGCTTGAGGCACAACAGAGGCATCTGAAAAATGTAATAGATAGTGTCTTGAATTAACAAATGATAAGAGCTAAAGCTACAACTGAATTGTTGCTTATGGAGAACGTTATATCATTTCCCACCAATTTGGATTGCAAACCTGGTTTTCATGTTTAGGTACAGGGGATTCATCTTGATGGGTTTCAAATTCTTCGACATGAGCTGAAACCGGTAAGGATCCGTCAAAATAATACCTGGAAAGGCTAGAATCAAGGTCTGAGTTACTAGATGACTCCTCGGTATCCTCATCTGAAGCTGATGATGACTTGATTCCTTCAAGTGTATCAGGTGAATTCAGGTTTACAGCACTTAGATCGGCAATCTCGTTGCTATCATTCAAACTGTGGAACATTACATTTGTTTGTTCTGTTTCTGCAGGAGTGCCTTCTTGGAACTGAAGTACCATTCCTTCGGATTTGTTAAGATAAGGGAAGTTGTTTCTCTTGGCGACCTCAGGTAGCAAACCACTACTACGTCTGAAAAAATCGAGAACCTGCTCTTCGTCCTCCATATCAGATTCACTAAAATCATGATCTTTGGAGACTATAGTGTGTGAGTTGGATGGACCCGTAGTGCCTTCTTCTGTGGAATCTACTGGATCAACCCGATCAGCAATTATACCTCTTATCCTTTCATCTTCCTCTTCACTCCTCGTCTCGTCAATTGAGTTGTTTGGTTCTTCAATGGTCTCTTCACCTACCTTTTCCATTCCTGTTCTGCTATGTGTCCACTCTCTCTATCTTTCGTTGTACTTCGGGCTGCTACGGTATGGATCTTTTGCAGGTTTAAAGAGGTCTCCGTTCATGGACTCAATCTATCTAGAAGATTGCTTGATATATTAGTCGCAATGTCTGTCGTTTAAACAACGATTGCAATACCAAAGACAGACTAAAACCAAACAAGGAAGATAACGAAGAGAAAAAGCAAATCCTATGATGGAAAGTTTGAAGAGTAGTTGAGAAAGTAAAAAAAGAATGGCTGATGTACCAAATGAAGAAACGTTCACACCTTTTGTTTTTGACTAGTTGGTTTCGGTGTGAAAACAAGACATGGGCAACTTTAGAAACAGGGCATAAGAGAAAACACATCAGACAAGACAACAAAATCTCGTACTTCTTTTCAATATGACTCATATTTGTATGAAAGATTCTCACATTGCAAAAGCATGTATACATACACATGGTACTTGTGCTAGTTACATGGGAATGTTATTTGTTTCTTTTCTAGACAATACAAGTCTAGAACTTGTGTTGGAGATTTTGAATATTGCATACATACAGGCTACAACATACTCATGACTCTATTCTATGACACCTTGGGAGAGATTTTGATTGGCATTCCAAGAGACGGAAATGGAAGAGGATCCATGCTGATTGTCTCATCTGGGTAGACTAAGGACCAATCGAAACCGGTCACAACGAAGTGCAAGAAAACGAGAATGCTGATTTTTGCTAGTTGGTGACCTGCACAAAGCCTTGGTCCACCTCCAAATGGTAGATAAGTATATGCCTGTATTGGCTTATCAAATCTTGTTGGATCAAAACTCATTGGATCTTGAAATATTTCAGGATTGTAATGAGTTCCGTAAGTTGTCCAAAGTATCTACATTCAAACAAAGAACCAGAGGTTTATTCATTAGTATTTCTTCAAAGAAACAGAGTGTTGATTAGAAATTGAAGAATCTAGAGATAGGGATGTGTTATACCTTCCAGCCTTTGGGGATTGTGAAACCTCCATAGTCAATGTCAGCAACTGCTTTTCTGAAAGAACCGAAGATTGGAGGGGATAATCGCATTGTTTCACGAACAACTTGCCAACTATACTTCATCTTTTTCACATCTTCCACTGAAAGATATTCTCCTTCCCCTTTGTTTGCTTTTATTTGAGCATGTTCTGAGATAAACATTTGGAAAAGAATTGAGATTTAGAGTTAAGTATGATTTTTGCTGATAGGAAAATAATATTTTGGGATTCATTTGATTGTTACCTTGAAGGAGAGTGTCACGGCAAGTTGGGTGCTGAGCTAACATCTTGAAAGTCATGGCCATGGCGTAAGAGGTTGTGTCATGAGCTGCAAACACTAGCAAAACCATATTATCTACAACCTCTTCTTCGGTTATCACGCCCTTGATCAACTCTTCTACTAGCCTCGAGAAGAGCGTTGTGTTTGGCTTCTCAGCGCCCTCCTCTTCCATTTCTTTTCTCTTCTCCCTAACCTTCCCAACCAGAAATGTCTCTATCTCTAGCCTTGCTTTCTTCGCTCTAGCAAACTTAGAACAAGGAAACTCAACAGGCAAAGCGAAAACTCCTTCTAAAACCCTCTCAAAGACCCCTAACATCCCAATCTCCACTTTTATCCCATACAAACACTCAAAGACTACAGTAAAAGTGAGAACTTTTGCCGAACGGTGGAGACTAATCTCTTCATTGCCTTGCCATTCGGTTTCAAGATGAAACTTAACAGTGTCACATAGCTTAGGTACTAAGGACTCTAACCCATTGTAGCTAAGACTATTAGCTGCAATCCCTCTAAGGACCCGATGCTTCTCGCCTTGTTTAGCCATGATGCAGTTCATGCCCATTAGCTGAACAGAAGATGAAGGCCATGAGCTCACCACCAAGCCAAACTCATTGGACAATATAAGTCTATTGGCTTCAGCTCCATTGACTACTATTGTTGGTGATCCCATGATTCTTGTCTTGAAGATGTTCCCGTGTTTGATGATCCTTGGATTTACAAAATCCTCAAACACTCTGTTGCTTTTCTGAGCTTTGTAGAACTCCATTGTTTCACCAATCCATGGAAGCCCCATTTCTCCAGGAGGAAGCTTCTTTATCTTCTGAATCTTCTTTGTTATGAATCGGTGAGGTTTCTTGCGAAAGAAGAAAAGTGTGCTGGAGATTGTTGCAGCTATGCATAAGAAAACCCATGAGAGAACGAAGTTTGGTTCTAAAACCATTTTTGTTTGTTTATTTTGTTCACTTAAACAGTAGTTGATAATCAAGTTTTGCATAATATTGGATTATGAGCTGAGTATTTATACGTAAGAGATTTTTTGTGAATGTTAAGGTCAAACCAAGTGGGATTATTATAATTTTCTCATTGTTTGTTCTGACACATGATTGATCTTCAAGATACAGTTCCTTTAGAGCTCATACTAAATATCTATTTATTTTTATGCAGTAGACGGTGATGATACTAAACAGACGATTAAAAATAAAAGACGGTGATACTAAAAATGTTATGCAGATGCATATATATCTCAAGCCTACGAAATATATGAATTAGTTACATAACCAACAAAAAGTTATATATAAGTTGACTTTTGGATTATGAAATCCTTTTTTCGTTCTTTTGTTGAATTTGGGTAAGAAAGAGGGAGATCAGAGAGACAAGTGCATGTGCTTGGAAGTTGGAATATGCTATAACCAAGATTGTAAATGGATGTATAACATATGAATCTGATCCCCATAATCTGCCTCATCAATAATTTCGTAATATTTTATAGTCTTTTTGTTCATAATAATAGTGTCAACTATATATGTAAACACACATGCTGGCGAAAATTTCATTAGATTTATATTAAATTTTGGAAGTAATAAATTGTACGCGAATCCCTAAAGATCTGCTGTGGCCGGCTGCGTCTGTTATGTCGAAGTTACGTTGCAAACTGCGTTTGGGAGATTGGTGTGTGAATTCATTTAATTACCCATCACATACATTAAACTAATCTTAATTAAGGTGTATAGACGTGCAAATAATCAAATAATATATAGTCCTTTGTGTATACTTTTGGGGATTTATCTTTACATATCACTCTTGAACGTTACACTATTTCAAATTGATAATTTGTGTGTACAGTATTGAGTCTTGAAATTTGGACAGTTCTATTAATTTTCATGGTATTGTTCATGCACCTAACATAAAAGTAATTCTAATAGAAACAGAAAGGATCATTTGGACCAAGTGATAACGAATAATTGGTTAAGAAGTCTCTTTTAATAGATTCTTTGTGAAAAAACGTCTTATCATATCAAAACAATTTTAGGCAGTTTATTAATCTTGTCGCGGCATTAGGCATATATGATGCCACTTTACGTCGCGGTTTTGTTGATTAACTTGCATAACAAAATAACAATCTTGTAGACATAGAAAATTAAGAAAGAGATTTGGTCTAATAAATTAAGCTACGAGCTTATCTTAAAACACAGTTTGGCTTGGAAACTAGAATTACACATTATTTAGCAGCTGCAAAAATAATGATGATGATGTTGACATTGACAACAACAATTATACAACGTTATGATGGTCGTCAATCATCATCAACGGTATTTTTGTATATATGATCGATTAGCGAACCCTATTTGTATATACTTATTAATAATTAAGAGCGATTTAAATTTTGCATATACAGAGGCATACACATCTTTTTGTATTGTATAGACATTTTAAAGTGTATACTTATTTGATAGTTTAATTAGACATTGATTCTTTGGATGGTCGGGGCTTTTAGTTGGTCGATCGCCTTGAACGCTAAAAAAAGGACAATTTGTCCGTATTTGCTGCTCTAGTTTTGGAGTAATTTATTTTGGATCAATTTGGCCATTAGTGGAAACCACCTAATTTCTATCAAATGTTCCTTACTGTTGCACACATTTTATCACGGCATTAATCACATCTACCATACAATGCTATTTTGTTCGCACCAAAATCACCGTTGTAATATTTGTATCTATTTATATCCATGATATTTGAATCGAGTTTACATGGTATCGGACTATCGGAGTAACAAGACAATCAATTTCATATTATTGCTTTGACCTATTCGATCATCAATATATATGCATTTTCAAGTCTCGTAAGTCTAATACAATTAGAGAAAAAAAAAAAGAAGATATATATGAAATATTCGGTATTTGTCCTAATAATGAAAGCAATCATCTATTGTAGAAGCCAAAGGCATCTTTAAAGTGTCAACGGATATGAATTGATATACCAACTAACATACTGTCAAATGTCATTTCTCGACTCTTGTTATATATACTCTCAAAACCGGTAGATTTATTCGGTATTGGAACATGAAAATAAGAGTTTATTTATCTTCAAAAGTTACAAATCAAATGTCATATACCGTAACGTGAGATATTTGAATATTCACGTGGTGCCTACTGCCTACATAGGTAAAAGACATTAATCATACATTCGTATTAACAAAATCGATTGTAAGTTTGTAACCCAATGGCCCAAACCAGTCGGTCGGAAGCTACAATACTGTGTCCGAATCCTAAAAGACTAAACCAGCTTAGGTCATATGGTTAACGGAATAGCTGGCAACTTCAATGAATTCTGATTTTAAAACATTTTTTTTTATAGATGATTTGTCGATTTTTGAGCTGGAATGGTAAAAAAGTGGTTGAGTACAGTTTTATTAGTTTATTTGTAAAAAATATAAAGGAATAATTCAAATGAAAAAAATTTCATCTACAAAAGAAAAAAACGTCAAAATTCCAAAAAAACTAACTTCAAAATCATGTACATGTTTAAAAAAGAAAAACAAAAAATGATTATTCACATTACTATGGTAATAAGAAAATTGAGAAGCCAAATCTAGGAGCAACTCCAGAGAAGAAGATACAATAAGAGAAGTGAAATTATTTTGTAAGATTTATGACCCACCAAAACCTACACAATGTTACATTTATTTATCTCTTTCTCTTTTAATCTCTCTAATCAAAAGTTTGATCTCATCTAATTTTTAATTTTATTTGGGTGGGTCATCTTCTACCTCTGCATCTCCACGTGCTACACAAGTGGCCTCGCTGTATGTATTATTTACCACTCTCTTATTGTTACTGAAAACTTAAATGTCACTTGAATGCAAACTCTATATTTAGGTGAAAACCAGATCAAATAGCAATAAATAAGCCCACAATTTATGCTAATTAAAAACTTGAAAAAACACGTTCAATTACCAATGATTTTTATCCAATCTTGGGGTTTGCTGTCCATAAAACGAAGTCGGGATAATAGAATTGACCTTAATCGCAATAAATGCAGCTATTGTCTTCTCTTTCAACTTCAAGTAACTACTAATTTAATAATCTTCTTAACTTATCCTAGAGAAGCACAAAACAAAAGGGTCTACGTTAGTCTACCTAGATTCTTGATCTGAATCTTGATGATCACTTGCTTCTTATGCTCAAGTCCTAAGAGTGGAAACTTACTTTGAAATAATTACTTTCACATGATATCAGAGCTAGCTTGCATTTTAGATACAAACATGTCATGCAATAAACATATATAGCAACGTACCGAGTCATTGATTGAAATACATGAATAGTAATACGGATTGAGAAAGAGATGAATCATTTCATATGGGAGACAGCTTTCTCATACGCGTCCATGCCTTTGCATGAAAGATTAAATAATTTAACTCTTTCATTTACTTATATTTTTTAAGTTCTTTACAGAATTCCAAGTGTTATTGCAATCACCAGGGGTATTAAATGGGATAGTGTAAATGCACCTGCAACACATCAACTAACCACACACTCCTCCACCTGTTTGTATTTACTTCAAAAACATTTTCAAAAACCCTTTGCTTCTTTCCTTCCCTCTATTTATAAACCCTAGTATCCGGTTTTTACTCTACTACACAACACCATTTGCAAAAAAACTTCTCTCTGAATCTCAGTGGGTTCTCATAAAATGAGAGGGATGATGAGTTTTACCTTTTGGGCTCTCTTTGCTGCTTTACTCTCACAGCAGCTCTTTGCTTCTGTTGCTTCCATAAGGTTTGAGGATGCCAAAACATACTACTCTCCTCCCTCTGGTAAGAACAAATAACATTGTAACTTTCTTTATTCACTTTATGTTAATAAGAATCTCAACTAAGATTCTTTCACTTAACTCATGCAGGCTCACATGGAACTCCTCCATCACACACGCCTCCTTCTAACTGTGGAAGTCCACCTTACGACCCTACTCCTTCATCTCCATCTCACCCTTCAACTCCATCTCACCCTTCAACTCCATCTCACCCTTCAACTCCATCACATACTCCAACTCCTTCCACTCCATCACATACTCCAACTCCTTCCACTCCATCACACACCCCAACTCCATCACACACTCCCTCACACACCCCTCCTTGTAACTGTGGAAGTCCACCTTCTCACCCTTCCACTCCTTCCCACCCTTCCACGCCATCACGCCCAACCCCTTCACACCCTCCTTCTGGTGGATATTACTCATCTCCTCCACCAAGTACTCCAGTCGTTGTGACTCCACCAACACCCATTGATCCAGGCACACCCATCATTGGAGGAAGCCCACCAACTCCTATCATTGATCCAGGCACACCCATCATCGGAGGAAGCCCACCAACTCCTTTCATCCCTGCTCCTTTCCCACCAATCACTGGAACATGCGAGTAAGTGTCAAAACATTCTCTGTAACACAAACATCATAAGAAAGATGATGATTTTACTTCATGTGTTTTTTTTTTTATCTTTTGTGTAGTTACTGGAGAAACCACCCAACATTGATATGGGGCTTGCTTGGATGGTGGGGAACTGTTGGAGGAGCTTTTGGTACAGTAAGTATTCCCAGTAGCATTCCAGGGTTTGATCCTCACATGAACCTTCTTCAAGCACTTTCCAACACCCGCACTGATCCCATTGGTGCTCTCTACCGTGAAGGCACAGCGTCTTGGTTAAACTCCATGGTCAACACTAAGTTCCCTTTGACAACTCCTCAAGTCAGAAACCATTTTGTGGCAGGACTTTCCTCAAACAAGGCAGCCACAAAGCAAGCCCATACCTTCAAGCTCGCTAATGAAGGTCGTCTAAAGCCTAGAGTCTGAAATTAAGAGAGTTTCATTTCTCACTTTGTTTGTTGGTTTATATCAAAAACAATCTTATCATGTGTGGTGCTCAGTAGAGTTTTAAGTGTCCTATAGCCTCTAGTAATATTTATGATGGATACTTCTTTCTATTTAATGTTGCTGTTTTAAAAAAATTTCTTGATCTTAAATAAGATTTAGTAGTTCCTCTGTTTCTCAATCACTCTGTTCAAGAATGTGCAAAGAAATGAATTGCTACAAGAAACTATAGATAGGATCATAAAACGCATCAATATTAAAAGAGAAACGTATAAATTTAATGTATAGAGCAAGGTACAGAGAAGTCAAAGTCTAAATATAGATTGACATGCACAGACCAACACAATGTCATAAATGTGACATTAAATTGTTCATGAGCATTTTTAAAATCATGCCTAAGAGATGTGTCAAGAAAGTGAAACAACTGGATTAAACTCCAGAAACGACAAGTCCATGAGAAAGAGAGAGAAGGAGCAAACATTAAAGAAGGAAGCAGTACATATATCAGAAGAATGGTGTTAGTGTAATAAACTCTGTGGAGTAAATATTGGAAGATGGTCTCCATGCATTCAAGTTTCAAACCCCAAGTTCTACCCACCAATGACTAATATCTTTAATGACTCTCTCTCTATATTCATGTCTGGATTTGCATTAATGATATTAAGTTGGTGTGTCATGGTTATGGAAACACAGCATCTTTGGAGGTTGAGAAATATCTCTATCCAAGTTTATCTTTACCCAAGGCTCTTCTTTTTTCTTGCTCTGTGAGCTTATGGCTCATGCTAACTTATTACTAATCTCAACACAATTCATATGAAAAATGATAATAATGGTCTCTGCATTTCTAAGTGTATTAAAAAATCAGACTGGTTGCATTATGCCAACCACTAGTGAGAATAAAAAAGTTCAATCTGAAATCTTTGGTGGAATATATATATCTAGATTTTGATACATATAAGTGATGATAGCTACTCAGCTCATTTGCAGTTCCAACTTCAAACAAATAAGAATGCTCAGTCTGCAAACTTTTTGTCTCTTGATATGTATATTCAAGACTTAGCTCTTTTTCAACAGAAGTTATCAAACTTTGAATTCAATGAATTCATTTTAGCCATGGAGAGCTTTCTTCAGAAGTAATCAAACTTTGAAGTAAATTCAAGGAGAATTTTTTTGAAAATGTGATCTTTGCTTGTCATATATGAAAAGAGGATGCAGATTAATTTGGGTTTTTTTTTAATTAATTACGTTAAGTAGGTTTTCTATAGTGCTAACTCTGCAATTATTTTTCTTCAAGAATTTAACACTTTTATTCCTTGCTAAATTGGACGTATTGATTGATTCTTTTAAACTTGATTTGTTCACTAACATGTGGAATTGCCGGAACAGAGCTGAGCTCACTAAGTGATTTCTTATAGTTTTGCGTTGAAAGTGGTCTGTTTTCACCTAATCACATCCAGCATTAAGGAAACAAAAATTATTTTTTGGAAACAATCTTCTCTAATTAAGACAGATGCCAGAACACATGGAGCAAACAACAACATTTAGCAATGAGAGTTTTCACTCAATTAACTGATAGGACATGTTAGCTAGTTAGGTTGCTCTGTTGCAGTAAAAGTTAGGTCTTTTGTTGCTTTGTCAAGTGAATTTGGCGTCAAGACACACTATGACAGATTTTGATTTTACTATAAATCCAGGCGAGAAGAAGTGCGTGAATGTATTTAGTCTTGCAGAAAGTTAGGGAGGACCTGACTATGGAATTGAGGCCTCGTTGAAGTCATCATAAGATGGTACATCTCTTAGCTCCATTTTCTTTCAACATCTTTTGCCAGTTCTGTCGTTTCAGGTTTTCGGTGCAGAATGAGAATGATTTAGCAATTCATTTTTCTACAATCTGCAAAGATTATAACCCCCAAGGTTCTATTACTAGTTCCATCTTAGGATGCATCATGCATGATGGCCTTTTATCTTTTAAGTTGGTGCAACTATATCAGTTTCACACATCAAGCTTCCTTATTGATAAGAGGATAAGAGGGAGTACTAATGGCTTTACTTTGGTATATATATTCCCACTAAGAGACCTTATACGTCTCATTGCACTAACACAGTCTCATATACTGCAGATTCATCGAGTGTTAATCCATGAACTGCATTGGTGGCAGCCAGGAGATTCTACCACCAGGTTTCATATTATCTCTTTTGAAGATCTTACAAATCTTATTGTTTCTTTATGACATGAGTCTAGACAAAGATCCTGAACTTTAGCTCTGTATAGAATTTAGTAACCCTGAGCTGATAAATTCTTGCAGTAACTTCATCAGAAAGTGGAAAATCCTGAGCTGATTAGAGGAATAATAGAGAGACTATCCTCTGCAGTTTGAAACAAGAGGAAAACAAGGTTTGGCCTATAGCCCTCATATTCTCCATGTCCATAGTTTAGAATTCAGAAAGACCTTAATTAGATGTAACTGCATCTCAATAGTGTTGTAGAAATTGCATATGTCTTTTTACGTCACATCAACACATTTTGATTTGAATATGCGACACTAATTAATTAGCAATAAGAATTGAAAAAAATTAAAGACTAGACGTTAATCCCCTTTTTATTTTTGGTTCTCTTGTCTTATATTATTAGTCTTAGCCTTAACTTACACAATCAAGATATATGTAAATTATAGGGCCCCTCTCAAATCGTTACCGTCTGCATTTTAGGTTTATAACAGTAAGTGTAACATGAATATATATGCATAAGATCGATCTCACGCTGAGGAAAGAAGCTTATGTTAGACTTAATCAAACAAGTTGCAGAGGTGGTTGGTCTTGGTTGGAGGCATTCTGATTTGGTTCAAGCAGGTTAACCGGAATATAATTCCGGTTGTACTGCTCTGACTGGTGAGAAGAAGTAACACCCGACTCGTAAACTGTCCCTTGATGTATCACACTCGATTCTTGCTGCTGTAGACCTGATCTTTCAGTAATCTGCAGAAATATGTAGAATTTGCACATCAAGAGATTGTGTTCCGAAACATAATGATAATCAAAATGCTAAAGAGAGTTATATAAAACCTTGGAGCGGAGATACATGTTATCGTTTTGCAGCTCGATTTCCTACAATGCAAGCGAAAACAGAAAATAGAAATGAAGATTCGAAAGAGAAGTTGCTAATAAAGTAGAGTAAGTTACTTGTGAAGGAAGATAGGTTTTACTTTTACCCTTTTTTGCATGTATTCAATCTCTGCAACTAACATCTCGTGCTGGAGATAAAACCAAACATAACGGGCAAGAATCAGATGGAAATATATTCAAGGATAAGGAGATTAATGGAATCTTAGTGTTTAACCTTCTTTGAGCGGACACGGCCGATTCCTTTCTCAAGCCTACTTTCAAGGTTCTTGAGTTCCTTAAAGTTCAAGGAACCAAGAGATTCACCCAGAATATGTCTGTTCAAATTCTGAATGTCCCGAATCTGTCTCCGAAGTTTAGACGCCTCTTGCTGATAGTACTTCATCAATTTCGGTACATTATTGATACAAGAGGTTAAAAAAGTCAGATAAGTAAAGAAGAAGAAATTAAGTAACGAGGATTAGGTGAATTAGTTAATGATGCTGACCTGAGTATTAGCTTCGGTGACGGTCGGAGGGTTAACGGCGTCGGAGCAAGCTTTCTTGTACCTTTCTATTGTTCCTCTCACACTTCACCAACATTCACACAAAGGAAAAGATTTAAAAATTTAATCATTTTCTGGTAGCTAGCTAAATGGATGCAACCGGTAAAAATATATTGTCAAATTAACTTAATTACCACCAGAAGTAAAACAAAGACACACAAAACTATAACTGTTAGATTCAAACATAAACCTTTATTTCACTGAAACCAGAAGAGATAAAAAAAATGAAGTAGTTTAAGAAATTAGGTTTTGATATTTTTAATCTTCTGGCTGTATAAAACACACTCTACACACACACAGAGACGGAAATTAAGGTTGAAACAATAGTTTTGTCCGGCCAAAACCTTAAATTCAACCGACAAATTAGAGTGATTGGACCAGTACCATATATGATTTGTTTACCCCCTTCTTTTTTTGGGATATTGTTGTTGTTGCCTATTATCTATTAACAGTGACATCTCACAAAGTTTTATTTATTTATTTATTATATGTGTATAATCAAAGTTCGAGAAGACCCTAATGTAATTCCCCAAAAAAATGTAGTCCTAATCTGAAAACACACAAAAGAGAAAAAGAAGTAGCAAATCGGAGAAGAAACGGAAAAAAATGAATTGCATATATGCTTAGTTAATTGGAATTGGTCCCAATGTGTCCAAAGTTTACGTACGACGACACAAAATCCAAATTATATTTTAGACTAGTATAGTGCCTAATTAGATTAAAAAAACACTACTAGGCTTTAAGAAAAAAAGAAGTGATCTTGAGGTCAAGTTAGATTCCTTATTACTCAGCTAGCTAGCTAGAGGCTAATTTTGCTGCTTCTTTTTTTTTTTCCTTTCTTTCATATTGTTTTAGGTGAAAAATATCGAAGTAGATAATAAATTCCAGGCCTGATCTTTTTTTTTTAACATTACATTTACATGCGTATGTGTATATAGGCTGAGGCAAGTATGCTATTACCAAGAACATGAAATTTGTAAATCTTTTGCAAAATAGAAAAGGTAAAGCTAGAAATCTCTTGTATACGACGTTATATATATATGCTTTCATATTCATACAAGTAATTCACATTGTGCTGTAGTATAATGGAAAGCTGAAGTTGAAAAATGTCAAAAGTAAGACACTTAAAGCATGCATGAGGGGTGTTTGAAATAAGAAAGTTAACTACACTTTTGATAATAGAAACATATATAAATCACATTTTTCTACATACCTAATGCATTCCTCTTTTGTTAATCAAATTAGTTGGGCATTGAATTAAAGGTACCTTTAAGCTAAGTCATGTCACATACACAGTTATGAAATTCACATTGTAACTACAAATTAACTTGTTTTAACTTAGATCCATGATATGAGACTTGACTAATATATAGATTAGAGTCATACATCACCCTCAAATTATAGTATTAACTAGCCCAAAAAAAAAAAACAATAATAGTTTGAAACCATCATCATTAAAAAGCAGACAAAGAATCAAAATGGCGAAATGAACATGAGCTGTTAATAGCTGGAAACTTATAGAAAAATGGAAATGACAAGTCCCCAACTTGGAATGAAAACTCAAAAATTTCTGTTTCATATATTTTTCTTGATTGATGGATGATTAATTAATGACTCAACAATAAGCTTTGTCCCTGAAAATTTTCTTGATTTAACAAACGGATTCACCAAAAGACTAGAGAAGTGTCAGAAGATAAACACCTACTAGTCTCTCCCTAGTGAATCAATTTTTAAGGAATCTAACATAGGTTTTATAATAGCCAAATATAAAATATATTATATTTTTTGTCAAGAACCCTACTTTTTCATTACTATGATGGAAACCTAATGATCAATCTGCAGAAATAAAACTTGATGGGTCATCAAATTGATCGAAGTGTCTTGTACATACTGACATATATACATAGATACATATATAGATGCTGTTATAAGGATTTGTGGGGAAAAAGTGACTGGAACAACAAGGTATGGGGATGCTAATTAATGATCAGAGAAGACCTCACCTCACAGCTTTTTGTACCCAAGAAGGAGAAGTTAAAGTGATCAAAAATTTCTCCCAAAAACAAAAGTAGGGTTCCTAGTTTTAAACAAACCCTAATTAATTTTGGGGATTTTAAAAGAGATTTGAGCCTCAGAGAAACTTGGGAAAAAACCCTATAAATCTCACTAAGAGAGAGAAACCATAAAGATTGAAAAACCCACCAGAAGAGTCGAAACTTTATTCTAGAAAAATTCAAGAAAATCAAGATCTAGAAGATGTGTAAATATGTACCTGTTGTTGGCGTACTCGTAGAGACGGCCTCGAGTGGAGAAGATGACAAGAGCAACCTCAGCATCACACAAGACAGAGAGCTCATAAGCTTTCTTGAGCAAACCATTGCGTCGTTTGCAGAAAGTGACTTGACGATTCGTAGTGTTCTCTATCCTCTTTATCTCTATCTTCCCTCTTCCTATCTTCTTGCTGCTCTCTGCTACTTCATTACTCGCACCACCCTCCATTTCTATAAGCCGTAGCTAATGTATAAACACCAGAGAGATAGATCAAATCTTTTTGCACTCAAGCTACTATGGCTACTATCTAAGTTATGAGATTTCGATGGAGCAAAGAAAGTTTTTTAAGGATTAAATGATAAAAAAAAAACCTAAATTGATAAGGAAGAAACTTTTATTACAAAAACTTGGATGATCAAGTTTATGTCATCATCAATAACCATACCTGGCTTTGCAAGATTAATTATGTATGATCAGAAAGAAGGAGAAGGAAATGTGAAGGGAAAATGAAATTAATATGTGAGAGATTTTAATTAGTTCTTGGCCTAAAGATGCTATTCTTATTATCTCAGTACCACTTAACTGCTGCTTCTACTTTATTTTTTGTTTTGGTTTATAATTTCTTTTAGAGGAATATTTTCTTTGGAAGTATTTAAAAACCCATTTGCAGAAAACAGAAGGTTTGGTAGTTTTATTCAAACTGAAATGTTATAGAAGGAAAAAGAAAGAAAGAAAATGGACCATTACTTCTAACATTTTCCCAAATATCTCACACCTAATTCTTTTAATTAAATTCTATATGTATACATTTAGATTGAAATTTGAAATTGATTGGAATTAAGTGGTAGAAAATATCAAATTAGAAAGAAAAAAACAAGAAAAGAAAGAAGAGAGTTTGGTTTGGATTGGGTGGGGAGAGCATTGAAGGAGGACCATCCAATTTTTCTTTCATGTTTAGAGGAAAAAAGAGAGGTATGGGCTCTGTTTCTCATCAGAATCACCTTTTGGAAATTTTCCTTTTTTGGTAATCCCTTTTTTATTCTCCTTTTCTTTTTATTGCCCTACTCCTATATACAATGCATGTCGTTAATGTTTTATACCTGGCATTTTTTTTTAAAAAATTCCAATTAAACCAATATTTGACTTATATGATATGCTAAGAATTTGTGTGGTTTATATGAACTTTAGAATGGTGTTATAACTTGTCAACTACCAAGCGAGCCAATGAATAGATTTCAGGTTTTTTAGAAAAATATTTGAATTTGTGTTTTTACGTAAATTGTAACTAATAGAAATGCAAAACACAAAAGCAAAATTAGTTGTTTGTGTTAAGAAATGGCAATTTAAGAGTGTACAGTTTAACGGGTTTAACTAGTCTTTCCAAATTCTTAATCTTGTACATTAGGTTACTCCAACGGCAATTTGAATATTAAGGATTAATTATTTTGATAATTGCATAATATTACGTAACTAGATAAATTACCCACACTATGTGCGGGATGAAATGATAATTAAAAAAGTACATTGTAGTTTTAGTTATAAAAATTATTGTATTATTATCCGAAATCCAAAATTTGTTAGTGTATTATGAAACATGTTAGAAAAAAATGTTTTATATTCCAATCATCGATTTTTCGTATCGGAATTCGTTTTACCCGTAAAATAATTAAAGACGACAATTTCTTTTCTAACGCAACTTAAATAACAAACACATATACATCTTTGTAAAAGAGAGGATGAAGATGATATCAGAGAATATATTTATAGAGAAATATTTTTATAGGGTTCCGTTTAATTTTTGAAATTTAGATTGCCTTCAAAATTTGAAAAGTTAATTTATTGTTGATTTTATGATAGATTTAGTTTTGAGAATTAATTTTATAAATGTAGTTTAGATTTATGAACCTAGGAAAATTTGTACTTACAAAAGTTATAAAAATATATTCTAATATATTAATTTACATGAATTATACGCTTACATGTTTGAGTTGTTAAAAATATATATATATATATAGATATGTTAGTCTGGATTCAAAAATATAGACCTTAGATCAATTTAATATATATACTACATATACACGAATCCTTTATGTATAGATAGAGATATGATGTTTGTATTACTGATGTTTAATGTTAATTAACGAAATAATTAGAATATCATGGCACATTTGTAACTAATCTAGTAATATATAGACCATTAATTTGTTATGCATATATCCTATGTTACATTTAATTGTCTTTGCTAATATAGAGATAATAAAGTTTGTCTTGTATAGATTGTGTGTTTTTTTTTTAATTTTTAATTAGAAATTCGTTTTTGATTAGTGGAATATATGGATGTATGAGATTAATGGCAAATTCCGTAAATAGTCTAATAAAAGTTGGTTAGTTATCTGAATAGGAACCAAATCATTGTGAGAGCGACACGTCAGCGTGACAATCTTGTTAATAGCACATCATACTAATGTTTCTTTTTTAAAATGTTTCTCTATTAATATACAGGGGATTTAGACAAAGAACTACATCATATATGCGACAATATAATTAGAGAAGATGAAACTAATAAAGTAAATGAAAGCAGAGAGCCCACGGGGAATGACTAATCATGTGTGTAGTCATTATCCATGAACCCTTTCTCAGATTTGCATTAATTAATTGTAGTTACGAAAGGAAACTCTTTTGTGTTTTGCCCATTCCTCATCATTTTCATTGTACTTACACTTTTAATTTAGTCAATTTTCTTCACGAGCAACAACATCTACATACACTTTCACATTCATGTCGAATTAATTAAGTTTGAAATTCTGCAAAATCATTTCAAGAAAGAACTTGAGAGCTGGTAGGTCTTTGATTGACTTTTGTGGACTATTTTCTTAATATGTATGCATTGAAAGTTGAATGCACTAGCTCTCTATTGTGGAGAGTTAGCGTGAAGTAATATAATTCTCATATTGGGTGTTTAATTTACTAGCTTAATGACAAAAAAAATCGTAATCAAATAGAATACTAATGAATAAAAAGGTAACATATATGTGTAAGAAAGATGAATTACATAAAGATTACTTTTACTAGCTCTGTGACAAAAAAAAAAAGAGAGTCAAATCTATATCAAATTAAACGATATCACTGATATATGAACTTTTATTTTAATGAAAAGAAGTATATAAATGGGTAAGAAAGAGAGATTATATGAAGATTCCCAAATTAAAGGACATGTGATTTACTCAGAATTTAACAAATTCGTAGACCAAAATCATAATCAAATTGTGTAATACGTCCAATCTCATTAATTAACGACGCATAAGTTCTTGATCAGTACTAACTTTCGTGAAAAAATCTTGTTTACCAAAAAATATATTCCAAGTATCATTCATAGGGATAGAGATACTAAACCCAAGACTTGGATTTCCCTTCTTTGTGTCACAATTACTTTAATATTAGAATACATATGGAAGACATAGGTGCATGAAAACGTAACAATGGGTTGGATATTCTTTACCTGGCTTGTTGCCTTAACTCACACAAAGATTCTTGCTTAAAGAAATTACAAGCTTTTGTGTATATATCCAACGTCACTGTGCTAAAGACGTTTATGAAAGTTTCTGTTGAAAGAAGAGTAACAACTAAAAACTCAAAAAATGGGTGTCATTATTGTGATTGCAAAACGTTTTGATGCTCTAATTGGGTAGGTTTTGATTCAAATTTTGAATTTTCTCTCATATGATAAAAGTATATTTGTCAAAAGTTAACATTATTTTCTTATTTTTCTTGTTGCATGCAGGCCTGGAGTCATGCTTCTCTATCCTCTGTAAGTGAAATCTAAATCTAAATGTTTGGTTAATAAATAAGTACAGATTAATTAGGTTAACTGAATGAATGATTAGGTATGCATCATTTCGAGCAATAGAGAGTCCAACGATGTTAGATGATCAACAATGGCTTACATATTGGATCATTTACTCCTTAATAACAATATTCGAGCTATCCGTTTGGAGAATCCTCGCCTGGTAATAATAATAACATTTACACTCAATTTTTGTAATGAATTCAGAAAAATTATGTCCGAAAAGAAATATCGTTTTCTTTTGCATTTTGTAGGCTACCATTTTGGCCATACTTGAAGCTTTTGTTCTGTATGTGGTTGGTGCTACCAATGTTCAGTGGTGCAGCCTACATTTACTCCAATTTTGTTAGACAATACGTCAAAATTGGGATGAATGTTGGAGGAGGAACGAATTATACAGATGAACAGAGAAGAGTTTTACAGATGATGAGTCTTGATGCTAGAAAATCGGTCCAAGATTATGTCGACCGGTTTGGATGGGATTCTGTTGAGAAAGCAATCAAAGCGGTATAGTATTTTCTCTTGTTGATCACTTATATAGTTGTATACAATCCAGTCCATTATATTTTTGGATTTTAACTTCATTATTCGTGTTCAAATGTAGGCTGAAAGAGAAACTAGAAAGCATTGATGAAATGGAAGATCAAGAATCAAGAAACATTACTCTTTGGTTTGTATTTGTATGTGTATAGATTGTATAGAACAAAACTATAATGAAACAAAAAAGAAAAAGAGATATATATGTTTGAAAAATTATGGTGACAAATTTGTGTTCTTCTCTATGAGCAAAATTACTATTAGAGAAGCCAATCCAACTCTTTCTGAAAAACACATATTTGGATGGGTCTCAATTTGATCACACAAACATCAGGAGACGATTCGAATTAAAATGAGAATACAACACTCTTTTGACATATTTTTTAAAAAGGCCAAAACTCTTTTCCCTTGACCATATTAGAGAACAAGATTGATCCTCTGCTTTTAAGCTATTACAAATTGGTGTTTCACTACAAAAAAAGAGGTGTTTTGTGTCATTTATTTTGTATATTTACATTACTTATAAATGATGCAAATAAGTTTTGCATCACTTATAAAAGTGACTCTGAAAGTGGTGATGCAAATATTTTGAATCGGTTGCATCAAATATTTGCATCGATTATTATAATTGATGTTGTTTTGTATCATTTGCAAGAGACGATGTTAAATTTGCATCGGTTAATAAAAATGATGTAATTATTTGTTACGGTTATAGTAAGTGATGTTAAGATTAATATCATTTTTGATAACTGATACAAATAATTGTATCATTTGTAATAATCGATGTTAAATATTTCTATCAATTATAAATAATTGATGTTAAATTTAATATCAGTTTTCATGAACAAATATAGCAATGATATCATTTTCAATAAAATAATAATATATAAATTTAATATTAATAAAATAAAATTAAAAACAAAAACTTAATTTCATGGAAGAAAACACGTTTACACGTTTACAACTTTACATTGTTGAAAATTCAAAAACAAACTCTAAAACCATAAACTACTTTTGTTCCTTAATTAATTCTCAGAAATATCAATCTCGATCACATCCTTTAATTCATGCTGAAAAATCTTTTGGGTCTTTTTCATCAATGGTGCATCCCATGCATCTCTAAATCTTCTTCACGATCCTCACGGTCAGATCCTCATGGGCCTCATAATCCTAGCAACCTCAGTAACATCATCGTCCGTGTGCTTTATTTTCTTAACCGTCTTTCTGTTTCTTTCCGGGTCCTTCAACGCCTTGATGATAAAAGACTGGATCAAAACAGCACAAAATAAGTATGGAGATCAGCCTAAGATCAGCATAAAATCAAAGAGATAACAAAATAGAACTTCTAATTAATCTTTGAAAAGACACATATTTCTAAAGCCACAAACTCTTGTGGTCGTAGATTTATTCTATGAGTAGCTTTTAGCCTTTTACTTTTGTAAATTGAATGACCCAAACAAAATTTAGAACATTAAGTGACCTACAGTTTTGCGAAGAAGACGAGCCACCAAACCTCTGCTTCTTAAAGTAATCATCTTGGCGAGAAGAAGTTATTAACAAAAAAAATATATATCTTAGATATTTGTATTTGGCAAAGAAAGTGTAGATTTTGTAGATTAAAGAAGTTAAGATTCCGGAGAGATTTGTATTTTGATTTACTTAGTTTTGGTGAAAAGGAAAATAGATATTTTATTTCCAACTAAGATTTTAAACTGAGGAAACAAAAAAAGAGGCGGCCAATGAAAAAATTCAAAAAGAAAAGAGAATTTTTTTTTATGATCGTCTAAATTTTGTTTTGTGTAATTAAAGATTTAGTAATAAATAGAGGATGCATGATCAGTGGATGTTAAACCACAAAATTAGTTTTAACGTAATTAGTGTAAACTTATTAAAAATTATATCATTTTTCAAGTGATGTTAATATAAATTAAGAAATACATCGATTGTTTAAATGATGTGAATTTATAAATTTGTATCAATATGTAAAAATGATACAAATTGATCTAGATTTGTATCAATTTTAATGAATTGATGCCACATAAATTAACAATAGCATCAGTTACAACAATTGATGTTAAATTATATTTTTTGTATCAATTATTAATAAGTAACTCAAATTAGTATCGTTTAACTTTTTGATGCAATTTAAGTGATGCAACCTAGCCTTTTTTTTGTAGTGTTTTGCTAATTTCGTAACTAATTTAATTTAGGTGGTGTTATTGGTTAATGGATTTAAATAGACTCTAACTCTAACCCAAATCTAATGTTATTGGTTAGTGGATTTTAACTTCTTTATTCAAATCAAGTGTTATTTGTTCTTATATTTATAATATCTTCATTAAAAGAGTTTGAAATCAAGTGTTATTAGTTCTCATATTTCTAATGTCTATATTAAAAGAGTTTAAAATCTAGTGTTATTGGTTCTCATATTTACAATGATCAATTAATTAAAGTTCTGTGTTATTCATGTTTAATAGATTTTCACAAATGATTTGATTTAAAAAGATTTGAATGAATCTGAAACTGATTTCATGTGTAAATTATAGCAATCAAAATCTTACCTTCTATCCTGAGATTTTCACAATCATATGAGAATAACCAAAACCCCATTTTTTTTCTCTTTTCACGTCTACTTATAAGAATTTACATACGGTGATTATAGTATATCTTTCTTCATCATTTTTTTTAATTTCTTTACTAAAGACATTATACTCATAGCTAGTAACAAGATTTTGTGAAAACTTCAAAACAGTAGAAAATCATGAAATAAGAAGAAAAAAAAATGGACAAAAGTTTCGCCAGATTTCGATTAGATTATAACAATCATTTGTTATAAAATTCAGTAAACCAAATGAAATCATGTATCATTGATAATACACTTCCACATATTTGATAAAATGAATAATGATTCATTTTCAATGAGCCCAGATGTTTTAAAATCTGATAAACTCTAATTCTAATGAAATTGACTTCAACTTATACAACCAATAACACCCCCTTAATTATGTAATATAATAAAATCAAATTTTTGCAAGTTTTTAAAAGTAATTAATTTTGTTAGGGTCCTATAATCTATACTTTAAAACTCTGAGATCCGTGACTATTATTAGTCCAAGGCCTCACTTATCCACAAAACGATACATAAAAAAAAATTGATATATGACGTCAGAAAAAATGATAATATTTTTTGAGATTCTACATATCTCTTCGTCCATTTATTTAATTGGTAAAAAATAGTGGGCAAAATTAATAATTTCCATTTTATCAAAAAAATCACATTAATAATTTCCTTTTTTTTGTTCAACTTGAAAATAAATAAATAAAAACATTAATAATAATTTCCAAAAACACCTCTTTCTCATAGATTCAAGTGCATACTCTAATTTGACCAATCTAGGGTTTCTCTAGTCACTTGAAGCTTCTCTTAAACCTGTCTCACTCGTCGTCAACCTCTTTCTCTTCCGCTGTCTCCAAGATTGAACCTTTTTTCAGGTATGATTCTATCTTAGAGGAATGGGGTTTCTCTGATTTTCCTACGAAACACGTCTTAAACGCTGGCTTCCTTGTGTTGTTGTCCTGTTCTGCTTTCCTCTTATCTGGGTTTTAACAGATCTTTCACAGAATTTGTCTGTAATTGATCTTTTTTTTTCCACTTGTCACGGCCACCAATCTGATTATTCGTTGTTGGGCTGTTATGAATATGAAAGTTCACAACTTTTTGCTCTATTTGCTTAATGTTCCTCCTGTAGCATGATTTTATTCTAAGCAGTTTTGCTTTCATCTGGTATTCTTCGTGTTCTTAGCTGGATTTAGTTCTGTGCGTAATTCAAGTTAATTGATGTGTAGGAATGATTTTTGTGTGAATTAGTTCTCTTCCTGCTAGGAATCTCAATGCATGACTTAAGTCAGTGGCTGTATTACGAAAAGTCTAGACTTTATTTAGGTTGAGTAGGATTTCAATGTCTAAAGCTCTTATTCTCTTAAACTAGCTCCCTGTTAAGTAGGTAACTTGTTGATTTTGAGGAATTGTCATGGAATTGGCCAGCTGGTTATGATTATTGTTATTGTGCATTTGGGCATGACTGAGATAAAACCTTGATTTTACATTTTTTTTGTCTATCAGTTCTGGCTTCAGTGGATAGTTAAGGAATTCAGTAAGAGATAAGTTCAATCTGACAACATGGAGACCAAGAATGAGAATCCTGATGTTTCACGGGCAGAGGAGTTGAAAAATCAGGCTAACGAAGCTTTTAAAGGTTTGTAATTTTATCAAAAACGTTAACGGATGCTTGTGGAATCAGTTTATTTCAACTCTTTTAGTGAGGTACTCTATTTGTTTGCTTTAAACTAAGAACAGCTTGCTCTTTTTTTGTTTGTTGCTAACAGGTCACAAATACTCCAGTGCTATTGATCTATATACAAAAGCTATTGAACTCAACAGCAACAACGCTGTCTACTGGGCAAACCGTGCATTTGCTCACACAAAACTGGAGGAATATGGCAGTGCAATACAGGATGCATCAAAGGCCATTGAAGTTGATTCAAGATACTCTAAGGTATCATCCTGTGACAAGATGTTACTGATTCTTTTTCTTATGTATGTTCAGACTTATTCACTGATTATCTACTGAATCACAGGGCTATTACAGGCGTGGTGCAGCGTATCTTGCCATGGGAAAATTTAAAGATGCCTTGAAGGATTTCCAACAGGTTAATGTTTATTGCATGAGCATTGTGCCATTTTGAGTTCTTGTTTCTTTCGTCTATATTTGTTAGCTGTCGATCTGATGTTCCCTTTCTATTTACTCTAAACTTTTTGAGTGAGGATCAGCTCAGTTGAGAAATGTCAAAATACTAAAGATGAAATGTTGTAGGCTTGTAGCTTGAACTCACCCAAATGGTCATAACTTGATTGTTTCGGTTTGATCAAGTGATTATATCCTGGAAACTTGATAGTTATCTGTGATAATCTGGTTTTGTGATCGGCTGTCTGTATATATTACGAGAGACTAGTGTGTATGGTATTGTTGACATGGTCTGCTATTTACATTTTAGGTAAAAAGGCTTTCTCCTAATGACCCCGATGCCACAAGAAAGCTAAGAGAATGTGAGAAAGCAGTGATGAAAATCAAATTTGAAGAAGCAATCTCTGTGCCAGTATCTGAAAGGCGTTCAGTAGCTGAGTCCATTGACTTCCACACAATAGGTATCCTTCATCTGTTTGCTTATTTTTCTGTTGTCTTATAGCTTGCAGTTTGTTCTGTCACCCTGGTTCTTTTATCTCTTGTTATGCCATGCCTTTGATTCAGTAGTTGACAAATGGTTGAATGTAGCTTTAGACTAGTAATCATTCTTCTACCTATTGTCACATAATAGGGAACAAACCCAGATCATCATCCATGCCCACCAAAACGGCTTTAGCAGCAGTTGTTGCAGCAGTAATGGTGGTGGCGGTCCGGGGATATGCCACAACTGAGATACTCATGGTGTTGGTTTCGGTGGTATTAGGGGCATTTTGGTGGGGTAGCTTCAGTGGTAGTAGTGTCTTTTCTCTGGTTAAATCCTCGTCCTAGGATCAATGTGGATTGTTTTCATGCATATCGAAGCCTGGATAGTTTCCTTGCTTGGAGTCTGAGTTGAGAATTGAAAAGTTCAATGATATAGATGTCAAAACCATCTCAACAGGAGTGGAACATTTCATAGATTTACTAACATCTATTTTTTGGTTTTGTTAAGATAGCATACCTCTTTTACTACATTGTAACTATTGCCAATAGAATCTGTGTCCATGACTTCTAGTTTTTGACATTCATTGATAAATGATGTTCACTGTTATTTGAGGTCTTAAGCCTTTACAATCTACTGATATGCTTTTCAATTTCATTGTAGAGGTTGAGCCACAATATTCTGGTGCTAGAATTGAGGGAGAGGAAGTTACCTTAGATTTTGTGAAAACGATGCTGGAGGATTTTAAGAACCAAAAAACATTGCATAAACGGTATGTATTGTTTTGGTGGTACTCAACTTAATTTACTCAGTGATCATTCGTTCATGCTTTGCTGGCACTATATTTGTAGGTATGCCTATCAGATCGTTTTACAGACAAGGCAAATCTTGCTAGCACTGCCTTCTCTTGTTGATATACCTGTTCCTAATGGCAAACATATCACTGTTTGCGGTGACGTTCATGGTCAGGTATGCTATGGTTTCACCTACTCCTCAACATAATATTTATTCTCTCAAATGAATCTGCGAGGGTCCACAATCTCCAGTTCTCTTGTTTATATATGTAGAAAATTTCAATAAACCGGTTCCCATACTATATCCCTGGAATTGGAATTTATTGTGAACCTTTCTACTTCTCATATCTTGATATTGTTGGCTAACTTTCTACTATCTTTCGCACTACCAAGGGCTGTAGTGTGTTGTATCGGGTGTGTGTTTGACACATTATTTTCTTTTGCAGTTCTACGATCTTCTCAATATCTTTGAGCTTAATGGCCTCCCTTCGGAGGAGAACCCATACCTATTTAATGGGGACTTTGTGGACAGAGGCTCATTCTCTGTTGAGATCATCCTCACCTTGTTTGCTTTCAAGTGCATGTGCCCATCATGTAAGTTCGCTGAAACTTTACCGCAATAATTCTTTGATGTTCAAGTTTGAATTGTTTTTGCTATCACTGGCAAGGATTAAATGCTCTACTATTGTCTGATGGCTTAAAAATTTCCATTTAAATTTAAATCGCCATTTACCCATCTTTGTACTGCAGCCATATATCTAGCCAGAGGAAACCATGAAAGCAAAAGCATGAACAAAATTTATGGTTTTGAGGGTGAGGTTCGGTCCAAGTTGAGTGAAAAATTCGTGGATCTCTTTGCTGAAGTTTTCTGTTACCTACCATTGGCTCATGTTATAAATGGGAAGGTCTTCGTGGTACATGGAGGTCTCTTCAGTGTTGATGGCGTGAAACTCTCAGACATCAGTGCCATTGATCGATTCTGTGAGCCTCCGGAGGAAGGTATGTTTCATCATATACATCTTCTGTAGATTACTTCTTATGTAATTGTGTTTTCTGTATTATCATCTTATCTTGCTAATGTTTATTCAGGACTAATGTGTGAACTATTGTGGAGTGATCCTCAACCTCTCCCTGGAAGAGGCCCAAGCAAGCGAGGAGTTGGTCTATCATTTGGTGGAGATGTAACAAAGAGGTTTTTAGAAGATAACAATTTAGGTTAGTTTACTGTCTTGTTATTATCCGGGTTTGGTTTCTCGCGCTAGTCTTTTCTTGAGATGGCTATTGACTTGGATTTTCATGATTGGGGCAGATTTGTTGGTCCGGTCACATGAAGTAAAAGATGAAGGTTATGAGGTTGAACATGACGGTAAACTCATTACCGTTTTCTCTGCGCCAAATTACTGTGATCAGGTAATTCAAACACTCCTGTCTTTGATTTCAAAACAGCGCCAATTACTTGATTCTTACTTAACATGGACTGGTATTGTTGTAGATGGGTAATAAGGGAGCCTTCATTCGTTTTGAAGCGCCTGATATGAAGCCAAACATTGTTACATTCTCAGCAGTGGTGAGTGTAGTATACCTCTTACATAGCATTGTTTTTATGAATGTTTCACAGAAACTGGTTCACAGTTTGATTTAGACTCGTTCGAAAACTCTTCTAATTTTATGATATTATGATTTCTCAGCCTCACCCGGATGTGAAGCCAATGGCATATGCAAACAATTTTCTCAGGATGTTCAACTAACCAGCAAAATGCTTCTTCTACGCAAATGCTATGCTAAAGACTCAAGACCAGAAGTGTTTCAGAAACATGATGATATAAGTTTTTTTTTCCCTTACCTTCTGCAGTTTTTCATGTTGTTCCAGAAAAGGGAGCCCATGATAATTAAAGGTACAGTATCCGGATTTGATCGGTTTTTTCTTCTTCTTTCTTTTTGATAAAGATGTTCCTTCTTCCTTTAAGCTTATCCAGCAACTTTTGTCCCTTTTGTCTTATGTTGTAAGAGGGGGAATGGACCATTCTTATTTTAGGTGAAAATCTTGTGATTACTCAACAAAAGAGTGACCAAATGACCCCCAAAACTCTCTGTACTTAGATGGTTTCTTGAATCAAAAATCAAAAGGTGTTTCTTTAAAGCTTCTTGTTTGCTCCTTAAACCTTAGATTCTTTTTGAAATATAGAGTTTAATTCAAAAATTCAAGCAAAGACAGGAAACAAAGACAGAGAGGTCAACAGTGTAGAGCTCTTGCAACAGTTATTCTCATGTAGATGTAGTTTTTTACCTTCTCTTAGTTAGTACAAATGGTGGTGACCTGTTTAAATACAGACTCTTAAAGAGAAAGTTAATAAGACTATTGTTTTCCCCTCTCTCTTACATGAGCTGTTTCAGATCAAAATACCTGCAGATTCCCCCATGAATTTTGCAGAGAATTTTGACAAAATATGTGCTTTGTTTACCAACCACTACTGAATCACAAACCTTGTTTTAGTACATGCATAGATAGATACATATACTAAAATGTGGAGAAAGCAAAAGGCTATGGGAATGGAAGCGGTGTCAAATCGTAAAGCACTGATGAAAGGCCTGGGAGATCCAGAAGGCATTACTTGGAATAAATTAAACAACTACAAAAAAAAGATTTTTTTTTTGTTGGTGTTCACAAATTTGTCAAGTGTTTAAGGGAAGTAGAAATTTAGATTTAATATGATGTTGGCCGGTTTAAAGTCTTGTACCACCAATTGAGTGAGTTTTATGGCCGTTGGATTGATTTTGGTGTAGGGCATGTGATGTGGATCATGCTTGAGTTAGAGATCCGTACGGTGAATAGTAGGTTCTGAATTTACCCCTTCAGACTCACAGTCCAGGGCTTAAGATTATTAGATAGATCCTTGACTACATATAATACACACCACACCACATACATGACAATACATTTGTACATTTTCTTACAAAACACCTTCTGCATTATTGCCAAGTGTAGTACAATTTCTTAACGTTTGAAAACTTTGATCTTTTTTAACTTCTTACAAAGTTATGTTTTCTCTGTTTTTAATAACCGTTAAAATAAAATGTCCTAAGATATTCTTCGTAACATTCTACGGTACAACAAAAAAATAATCCTAGGACAGAAACAAGTCTCTTTGAGTTTTTTTTTCAAAAGCCTATATGCGGTTGTCAAATGTATTTCAATTTTTTTGGTATTAATGTACAAATAACTATGATTTTGTCTGGATCAATTCAAACTATGAATAGTAAAACTTCAGAGAAATTTGAAAAAAAAAGACATGAATAATTGATGACAGTAAATAGAGAGACATACAATGCCCACCACTTTTCCTTATTAGTAGTTTTTATTGATCACAAATATCTATACAGGAAGATGATTTGAAATAATAGATAGAAAAATTGAAACTATTTTGTGAACAGTGAAGAAACTATTTCGGGTGATTTTTGAAACAGTTTGTACCAACTATACATTGTGATTGTCATGTGGTGTGTTGCCTTTTGAACCAACCATCAAATGGTCATCTTACATCAAATCTTAACTACGAATTGGTTTTCTTAAACTAGTTTTCTTCAAAATCAATGTTTGCGTATACCTCGATCATTCGTTTTTCCGTACTGATCCCGTCAGTTGGATTAAACAACAAAAATTTCATTAAGTTTTATGAGTTTTCAATTCAAAACGAATTTGATCAATGTTCTTTTTATCCTCATTTTATCTATTATGTATAATTTCTAACACATCACATTGATATGATGACTAATCATTCATCCCGACAAAATTTCATTCTAGGATCAATGTCGGTTTGATCCATGTATTTACAATTAATTTATGATCGTTAGTCTCACCTTATTTCCTGTATGTGAGGACCATCTTCATTTACAATAGACTTGGATCATACAAAATCACTTTCTTTATTGTACATTTTCATATAAACTATGCAAAACAATCACATGGTTAGAAACTAATACATATAGAGAGAGATGTTTACAAAAAAAAAAAAAAATAGAGAGAGACCGAGAGACATAAAACAGGAAAGCCGCTCCACAGAACCTGAGAGATTCGAGGAGCTAACGTATTCACGAGACTACCTCCCAACAAAGACAAGTCCTTCAAAATTGTTTCGAACAAAAGTGTTTTGAATAAAGACCCACATGTTTTCGAACATGTGTGTATGGCCTTACAAAACCCATCAAGTACTCTTTTTAATTTGTGCCTTCTCTTTCTCTTCCCAATTTCATGACTTGAGTCCCTACCTATTTGTCTCTCACTACCCCACACGTGTCACTTTCAGTCACTTCCATTTATAATTGCATCTCTCTCTCTCTCTCTCTCACTCACACACTCAAAACCTATTCGTATTCTTTACTAGCTTTCTTCTAAGTCTTCACTCTTTTATCATACCTTGTTTAGATTCTGATTGTTCACGTGTCTCTGTCTTGTCTTGTCCCTAATCCTTAAACATTTCACTTAACCTCGTTGAAAGCTTAAACCTTTTCTTAAGTTTCTCTTTTAGTGGTGTTTGCTCATCGATGATCATCTAATGTCACTTTTATGCTCTTTCCTCTCAAAGATTCTAATTAACGTCACTTTTATGAATTCTCAGTATAATATCACCAAGAAACACACACACTCTCTCTTTCCTCTCTCTTACAGCAAATTCTATGACGATGAAGAGAGCTTTACCATCTCCTTCCTCACTGCTCTTCTTTCTCCTGATAACACCACTCTTTCTCTGTCAAGAAAACAGAGTCTCTGCCTCAATGCCTCCATCTGAGTCAGAAACTCTCTTCAAGATCATGGAATCAATGTCTTCTGATCAACAATGGCGTCAATCCCACCCAAACCCTTGTGCACCTGGCTCATCTTGGCCAGGCATTGAGTGCAAAACCGGTCCAGACCACTTATCTCACGTCTCTCGGCTCGATTTTGGCTCTGCTCCAAACCCTTCTTGTAAATCCTCTGCTTCTTTCCCTTCTTCAATCTTCTCTCTGCCTTTTCTCCAATCAGTCTTCTTCTTCAACTGCTTCACTCACTTCCCAACCACAATCATCTTCCCCATTAAGCTCCTCCCAAACTCTTCTCTTCAACAGCTTAGCCTCAGATCAAACCCTTCTCTCTCAGGTCAAATCCCTCCTCGCATTTCTTCTCTCAAATCATTACAGATACTCACTCTCTCACAAAACCGGTTAACCGGAGATATCCCTCCGGCGATTTTCTCACTGAAAAGCCTCGTACACCTCGATCTCAGCTACAACAAGCTCACAGGTAAAATCCCTGTGCAACTGGGGAATCTCAATAACCTCGTTGGCTTAGATTTAAGCTACAATTCGTTAACCGGTACAATCCCTCCAACGATCTCGCAACTGGGTATGCTTCAGAAACTCGACCTCAGCTCAAATTCTCTCTTAGGAAGAATCCCAGAAGGTGTTGAAAAGCTTCGTTCTTTATCTTTCATGGCGTTAAGCAACAACAAACTAAAAGGAGCTTTTCCAAAAGGAATCTCGAAACTTCAGAGTTTGCAGTACTTCATAATGGATAATAACCCAATGTTCGTTGCTCTCCCTGTTGAATTAGGGTTCCTACCTAAACTTCAAGAGCTCCAGCTCGAGAATTCAGGATATTCCGGCGTAATCCCGGAGAGTTACACCAAATTGATGAACCTTAGCTCGTTGTCTCTGGCTAACAACAGATTAGCCGGCGAAATCCCATCTGGGTTTGAGTCACTGCCTCACGTTTTCCATCTGAATTTCAGCAGGAACTTACTGATCGGCGTCGTACCGTTTGATTCGAGTTTCTTAAGACGGTTGGGTAAAAACTTGGATTTGAGCGGGAACAGAGGATTGTGTTTGAACCCGGAGGATGAGTTCAGTGTCGTTAAGACCGGAGTTGATGTCTGCGGGAAGAATGTTACTGGTGGTGGAGTTTTACCGGTGCATTCACCGAAGAAGAAATCTCAAGCTGCTCCTTCTCGGTATTACAGATCTTGCTTCTTCTCCAATGCTCTGTTTCAATTTGCTCTGTTTCAATTTGCTCTGTTTCTTAGTTTACATCAACGATTGGTTCTCTAAGAGGGAGGATAAAGACAAAAAAAACAGACAATTAAATATTTGATTAAATCCCTAAAAAAGAGGGAAGATTTGTGTTTGTTCCCAAAGTAGACCGATGATTTCAAGGGAAATAAATTAATAGTCGATTTTGATGTGTATTAGCTTCCTATTAAAGCAATGTACGTTAATGTTGTTTTTTATATAGTTTAATATTAATCCTAGTAGTATTTTTCAGATTTTTATATGATTGTTAGTAAAATTATTTCGAGTCATCATTATGGTTTTAGGTGTGTATATATATGGGTCCTGAACAACTTCATAGCTGTGTGTATAAATATGTGTTTGTATACAAAAGGGAAAATAACAAATGAAATGAAACGACGTTTTTGTTTTCTATAGGGTAAGAATTAAATTTCCAGTAAATCTGTTATAAGATTTACATAAAATATAAGAGAGCAGTTTGGAGAAAGAGTGTGCAGTGATCTGCTAAAACGACATAACCTGATTCAAGTCTGACCATGCAACTAAATTGAAGACCTAGCAAAAAATTAGTAATCTTTTAAACTGGGTTTCAACTTTCAACCAATCATCTTAAATTTGTCTTAAGCTATAGCTGAATTTATTTATATCAATCAACTAACTTAATTTGTTTCTAAACTACGAGTATTGTTTAAAAGGGTTTAAAGTGATTATGTTATGTAGGACCCTAAATGATGCGTCAAAGGAGGTCGCAGCGTCATAGCACTTAACGTTAGGACACCCTATGATCGTGTCTAATAAGCAAACAAATTTTGGTGTATAAATCCATTTCTATTCCTAGGCAAGGTAGGCAAATGACAAGAGTGCAATATTAGTTTCATAAAAAAATTTAAAGAAAAAATGCTCAAATTTTTTTACTAAGAGGGTTTTAATTTTTGTTTGTTTTACCATAGGTTTCATTATATATTGAAACGGTACTGTATATAATCTTCTTTTTAATTATCGTACACATCTTTCGGATGTGATGTGACTAATGAAAGGTTTAAATATATTTAAACATATGATGAACACATAAACAACCATATATAGGAGAAACTAGAAAAATATAGTATAATTTGTCAGTCATATGTCTAAATCCACAACTCCTTTTTTCTCATGCTTTTTTCTTACTGCAAATATTATTGCATTTCCTTTGCCTCTCTCACACATTTCCTCTGTCATTTTCTCTTTTATTTATTTTTATTTCGGAATTCCATTACCGTGAAAAAGCTTTGTTTATAACAGTAAAAGTTATTTATATTTTCAAGTGCTTTCTAGTTGTTTATTTTTTTATCAATTACTATGCCTCTGTTTGAATAATTAAAAACACAAGTGATGTAAATTGTGTTATTGTAGATCCTATATATGTACAAATTTATTTTATAGACGTGTAGAAGTTATAAATGAAAGGTATCAGATGAAAAAAAAAAAAAAAAAAAAATGAAAGGTATCATTGAGTGATCACCGTTGCAAATAATGTTTAAAGCTATCTTGCATGGAAACTCTCTTCGAGGTCCGTTTCCCGTTTCCGAAACGTTTCGGAAACGGAAACTCTTCAGAAACACGAAAAATGTTACGGAAACGCGTTTCCTAAAAATCTATGTTTGGAAACACGATGGAAACTCACGTTTCTAAAATGGAAACGCGACAAATCCTTTTTATTGACTTTGGAAACTTAATAAATAAAAATTGAAAAGATTAAGATTTATAGAGTAATACATATCACTAATTTTGGAAGATTCTGAGTTTTAAAATTTTTTTATCGACAAACTAGATTTGGAGGCATCTTTATATGATCTACCATGAAACTAATGAAAATGCGGATGAAAATGTTGGTCTAAATTAAATATTTGAACTTGAACCTTTTAATTTTTTTTCTTTTAGAATTTTAGTTAACCTATTTAATATTTGATGTTTTGGACTTGTATTGTTTAATTAAACTATTTTTATAGTTTTATGTTAATGTTATATATATACATATATTATATATGTGTATACGTTTTCAAAACGTTTCCAATCCCTAATTTTAGAAAAAAATCGTTTCTCGTTTCCGAAACGTTTCGCTTCCACGTTTTCGTTTCCGTTTCCATGCAACATAGGTTTAAAGAAAAAAAAAAAAAAAAAAAAAGGAACAGTTCATGTGTTGAAAACAGAAGGAGGGAAAGAAAAAATGTATCACTCTCAGATTCAGAGCCTCACGTGTGGAAAACTTAGAATTCCATTTTTAGGTACGAATCAATACTATACGACCCGTCGCTTTTAAAATGTCATTTATTATACCTATAATAAGCACTCTCACTTTCTCCTATCTTTTTTCTTTCTTAAAACGTAATTAGACGACCTCCATATACACTTATAAGATTAATAGCCTAGTACACTAACATTAAAGAGTAAATTTATTTAAACGTTAGTATTTTCCATCTCTTTGATTAACTATAACTTTTGTATTTTTTTTACTACAATTAATTTATAAAGAACATCCATAAAATAATGAATTTTCTTTTGAACGAAATAGCACAGTTGAGCATTTAGCTTTAGATAACAATTTAGTCATTTAATTGAGATTTCAGTCATAGTTGATCGTAATTTTTAGCTGGTTATAAAATTATAAAATAATCAAAATTCAAAAAACAAATAGCTAAGAAAATAAAGCGAACAAAAAATGGGCCGAAAGAGAATTATATTCTGTTGGGTCGAAAAAGATGCATAACCAGAAGCCCACATTAAAAACGTCAGCCCAATCAGCAATGCTTCAATCACATAAATATTTAGCAAATCGAGGAAAGTTAACTAGATAATGCTGATAAGTGGGTCCCAGATAATTCTGACAGATTAGAGATGTACAAGTTGGGTCGCCTTTCCGCCGTTGGATATCCATTAGATCACGCACACGTGGAAACTAGTCAATACTAGGGACACGTGTTATAATAACGAAGAGTACAATGGTGACTTGCAATATCTTCTTCGCTCCCTTTCTGCTTCTTTCTCTCTTCTTTGAATTTTGATTTTTCTGGTTGAAAATGGAGATTTCAGAGAGAGTTCGAGCTCGATTAGCTGTTCTCTCAGCGCATTTGGCTGAAGGAAAACAGGATTCTCCAGCGATCGAGCGATGGTGCACGTCGGCGGATACGAGTGTCGCACCGCTTGGATCTTTGAAAGGAACACTGACGATCGTCGACGAACGCACCGGAAAAAAGTATAAAGTTCCGGTCTCAGATGATGGCACCGTTAAAGCCGTTGATTTCAAAAAGGTATAACCCTTATTCTAAAAACTTCTGGGTAAAGTAGATTTTTTTTTGTTTTACTATCACTGTGGGATTCTGAGCTGAGGAGTTTGGTCTGTTGCGTGGTGTTTGGCTTGCAGATAGCTACGGGGAAGGAAGACAAGGGCCTTAAATTATACGATCCAGGTTACTTGAACACGGCTCCTGTTCGATCTTCGATTTCTTACATCGATGGTGATGAAGGGATCCTCCGTTATCGTGGCTACCCGATTGAGGAAATGGCTGAGAACAGTACTTTCCTGGAGGTGGCTTATCTTCTCAGTAAGTGTATTGGATCATGTTTCAGTTTGTTACTCATTTTTTCAGTATCGATGCTAGTATAACCACAATTTTCAAGTGTTATATGTATCGAATTGGACATTGATGAAAAGTTTTCTCCTTTACTATCTTTTCTTGCAGTGTATGGGAATCTGCCCTCTGAAACTCAGCTATCTGATTGGGAGTTTGCAGTTTCTCAGCATTCAGCTGTGCCACAAGGAGTACTAGTAAGTTTGCCTATAGCATGTTTCAGGACTTTAGAGTTAGCTATTCTCTACTTGTTATTGTCATTGTCTGGTCAATCAATAATTCTCAAGACGTTTCTATACATGTTGTTCTGAGGGTTGTGTGCTGTATTCGAAGCTATCAAAGCAATATATTTCTCATATCTAAGTCGATTTACTTGAAAACTTTTGTACAGGATATTATACAGTCTATGCCTCACGATGCACACCCAATGGGAGTTCTTGTGAGTGCAATGAGTGCGCTTTCCATCTTTCATCCTGATGCAAATCCTGCTCTTAGGGTAGGTTTAAGCTTACATTACTTCTCTAACAACATGTCAGGCCTTGTCACTCCTTGTGTAAAGAATTAGCTCTTTTGAATTTTTCCGTATAAACATGTTGATTAATACTCTACTGGGTGCAGGGCCAGGATATTTACGATTCTAAACAAGTTAGAGATAAACAAATTATTCGCATTATTGGAAAGGTATTTTTGTTATCAGTGGTCACCTTACTTCTTCCTATATTGTGTCACGCATAAACATATTTGGACTGTGAATTTCATGAAGGCCTGAAAGAAAAAATTACAATCTGTGCAACTAAACGTGTTTACAATTTACAGGCACCTACAATTGCAGCAGCTGCTTATCTGAGGATGGCAGGGAGGCCTCCTGTTCTTCCCTCAGGAAACCTTCCTTATGCAGATAATTTCCTCTATATGCTGGATTCCCTGTATGTCTCTACTATATCTTTCTTCTCGAATTAGTTAGAACCTCAACTTTTAGATTCATTTTTGGATGATCGCTTGATGCTTCAGAGCACTGGAAGCTTAGTTGTTTTTTACTGTACATAATTTGTAGCGTGCCATTGACACACTTTTTTCTGTTTCTTACAGGGGAAATAGATCCTACAAACCTAATCCTCGGCTGGCTCGGGTTTTGGACATCCTCTTCATACTGCATGCAGAGCATGAAATGAACTGCTCCACCGCTGCTGCTCGGCATCTTGCCTCTAGGTACATATCTTTGGTTTGAATCTTAGTGAACTTGATAGGAGATATTGATTGGGAAATGTCTTCTTGTAGCGGTGTTGATGTGTACACTGCTGTTGCTGGAGCTGTGGGAGCGCTATATGGTCCACTTCATGGTGGTGCAAACGAGGTATGCTATTTATTCTCATATCTTCATATTATACATCTTCTGATGTATTTGCATGCTCCATGGTCTTTGAAGTTCATGTCTTTGGTTCCATTAGGCTGTGCTTAAGATGTTGTCAGAGATTGGGACTGTTGAAAATATTCCAGAGTTTATCGAGGGTGTGAAGAACAGGTAAATTCAATTCTTGAACCTATATGCTTCCGTTTTCTAAATTTTTGACAAGTCTTTTCATTTAAAGTCTCATCTCTTTGACATCTTAGGAAGAGGAAGATGTCTGGTTTTGGACACCGTGTGTAC